ACACGCGCTGCCACGTGCAGCGTGACCCGCTACACGCGCTGCCACCCGCAGCGTGACCCGCCACACGCGTTGCCACGCGCAGCGTGACCCGCCACACGCGCTGCCACGCGCAGCGTGACCCGCCGCACGCGCTGCCACGTGCAGCGTGACCTGCCACACGCGCTGCCACGCGCAGCGTGACCCGCCACATGCGCTGCCACACGCGTTGCCACTTGTAGCGTCTGTCATCCAAAAAGGTTTCCTCTACATTTTTCTCTCAGTGTGCCGAAGAAAAAGATTCATCAAACAAAATTTAGTGTCAAAATAATGCAACAACAACATTTAAAATTCTCTAGAAAATTACTAACCATCGTATTAGTGGCTACCATTAATTACCAGACATCATCTTGGTAACCTTCAATTATTAACAGTATCGTTGTAGCAGTGACCTTTAATTACTTGCTGTTTTCGTCCCAGTAGTGACCATTAATTACCTGCTGCTCTCGTAATTAACCATTAATTAGCTGTAATTAACATTAACATCCCTCCCCTGCTCGGATACCCTAGCCTGTCTCCCTCACGAGGGCTGTAAGCTCGCCAATGAAGCCTCACTTTCCCTCCTTCTAACTTGCGTTACCCTCACCAAATGTACTTCATATGCACGCTTGTACTCATATGTACATCGTCTACCACCTGTCTCTTATACACATCTAGATGTGTATAAGAGACAGGGTCAAACTCAGTCAATGGTTTGCCAGCCAGCAGACAGTCCGAGTCTGTTCGGTATATGCGTTCTTCCAAGTGCATGTCCTGATAGAAAAAATTCATTTGTTACATTTTAAAACAATTATATACAGCTATAAAGATTTTAAAATAGCTTTAATAACTGGTACCTGACACCTGTGATGGCTGAGAAGAGATCATAAGAACAATAATATAAGCTAATGATTTGAAGGTACAACCCGAGTACTTCTATAATAATCATCATTTCAATCTTTGCAATCATTTCACTTCAAGAATCAGATCTGAACCATATAATGGAAATATAATAAAAATTTAACATTTGATTCTTAACTAAGAATGCAATTAAGAAAATAAGCCAGGGTATTTTTGAAAAATGTAATTATATTCAGCAAATTGAATTGAAATTTTTGGATGAAATTATTAAATAGTAAATAAGAAATGAAATTATATATACGGTACCTACATAGATTTTTGCATGGAAAAGGTTTAATAAATTTGAAATTAGAAGAGTAACTAGATGCCAGTGGATAAGAGGGACGTTAGAGCAGAGTACAGGCTTGAACTTTTTCCTTCACAAACCTCGTCACTTCTCAGACATCAAGCATCAATGGCAGTATTATCCACTAGNAAAGTTGTTCTGCCGACTGTACGTAAAGTTTTGCCGATTGTGCGTAAAGTTGTTCTGCCGACTGTACGTGAAATTGTTCTGCCGACTGTACGTAAAGTTCTGCCGACTGTACGTAAAGTTGTTCTGCCGACTGTACGTGAAATTGTTCTGCCGACTGTACGTGAAATTGTTCTGCCGACTGTACGTAAACTTCTGCCGACTGTACGTAAATTCCTAACTTCTGCCCACTGTACGTAAAGTTCTGCCGACTGTACGCAAAGTTGTTCTGTCGACTGTGCGTAAAGTTGTTCTGTCGACTGTACGTAAACTTCTGCCGACTGTACGTAAACTTTTGCCGACTGTACGATAAAGTTGTGCCGACTGTACGTAAAGTTGTTGTGCCGACTGTACGTAAAGTTGTTGTGCCGACTGTACGTAAAGTTGTTCTGCCAATTGTACGTAAAGTTGTTCTGCCGACTGTACGTAAAGTTGTTCTGCCGACTGTACGTAAAATTTTATGTATAGCTGCTAATGCATGAGGTAAAGTTTGTACGTAAGTTGCCGACTGTACGTAAAGTTCTGCCGACTGTACGTAAAGTTCTGCCGACTGTACGTAAAGTTCTACCGACTGTACGTAAAGTTGTTCTGTCGACTGTACGTGCAGTTAGTTGTTCTGTCGACTGTACCTACAGCTAGTTGCTCTGTCGACTGTTCCTTCAGTTAGTTGTTCTGTCGACTGTACGTACAGTTATAGTTGTTCTGCCGACTGTATGCACGGAAATCTAGTGGCAATATGGCATGGAAATCTATTAATGATATCAGGAAAGTGAAGCGGCAGCGATGGCAAGAAAATGTCAAGGCAATGGCTGGGAAATTTTGAAGCTGTGGCAATGAAATGGTGATTGCAGGCAAATAAATTACAGTTAGAAATATTTCAGTGAATCGATTACTTTGAATTTTCGTGTTTATTGGCCAATACGTTTTAATGCTTGCCGACCGGTACGTTTTCGTGTCTGCCTACCGGTACGTACTTGGCCGAAGAATTAGATCGCATTACGACGTACCAGAATATGCACTATATAGAGAAATGTTTTTGCGTCACACTAAGTTTGTCACTGCAAGCATTCGTGCGTCACAACGTTCCTTATCTCGTCATCCGCTATATTGTTGAAGGCCGTGATATGGTTTCCGCATTCACAGAAATGAAAGAGCTTTTGTTGAAATAGATGTTTTATTTTTATAAGTAATTATGACCCAGATTGGCCAGACTAAAACAGTGATACGTGTACTATGTAAGTCATTATTTGGACAAAATGATCCGTTAATTGCGTAAAGTAAGTTTCAGCGAGCCTGTTTCATTTCACCGAATACGATAACGGCTGCCGAAGTTTGAGAATTATTCAGATAATAATTGATTTTGAGCCATAAATACCATTAATTAGCCTCATAATTCTGTGAAATCTTTGCAGTCTGAGTATTGGATAATTAAGTGCATGGTTTTCATGCACTCTGTGCGTTCCCTGATGATTCAACTACAATATTAATCAGTGCATGATCCTGAGTTTTGTGAATATGATTTTATTTATTACACTTAATGCCGTAATTTGCGGAGCATTACAAGTTATTTATTCCGTAAAGCCAGCGCTGGTCTCGATCTTTTTGCAACTACAATGCATCGACATTAATTTAAAATTGAACTAAGTTACCATCTCGATCGAGGTTAGATATCTAGCTACTTTTTCACTCGGAGAAATATATCCATATTGCCCAAATTGTGTCAAAATTCCTTAACCACAGCTCGAGCTAAACAGGGTTATGATGCCCCATACAAGCGCGAACTGTGAATCTCTGTCTAAACAAAGTTTCACTAATTTTTTTAGTATGTACTACATAAATAAGTGCTATAATTGTTATTTTATGTTTCAGAGCCTAGTGATACCAGGAAGCAGCGCTAGTGACGTGAAGCACCAGTTCACATTCTCAACACAGTCACAACGAGACCGACACTCTGAGATAAAAGCTGTCACCCGCACCCCAAGCGGCAGCCTGCTGTGTCTCGGCACCATCGAGAGCACGCTTAGAGTTCACGCTAACGCTGACTCCTTCAACAATGTCAAGGATAAACTCAACTCTGTTAAAGCGCACAATGAACAAAACTGGTGGGTCATACTTATTCATTGTGTAAAATGTTTCTTTTTACCAATATTTATAATTATTGTGTTTGTTTTTACAAATATTTATAAACGCTAACGCCGACTCCTTCAACAATGTCAAGGATAAACTCAACTCTGTTAAAGCGCACAATGAACAAAACTGGTGGGTCATCGTTATTCATTGGAAATATTGTTTCTTTTTTACCAATATTTATAAATATGTTTTTTAGAAATATTTCAACTCTGGCCAGGCGCACAATGAGCAGAACTGTTAAGTCTTGTAATTATCTTGTAGATATTATTTTATCAGTGGTTAAATATCGATATATGGGCCCGAACTAAGAGTAACGAATTGGTAACTAGTTAATTGTTACTTGGTTATTTATTAACCGGTTATATATTAACAATTAACCATTACCATGTCTCGCAGCATCAAGGTGGTGGGACGGGACAACGGCTCAGTCCAGCGTCGTGGTGGCGGTGGCGGGTACGGTGGTGCTGGCGGTGGTGGTGCCAAGAACCAGCACAACGGCGGTGCTGAGATGATGTACCGCAAGAACACCGACCTCTCTTCCTACTCCCTCACGTTAGTATATTGCCTCTAGTTCTTACCCTCAGTCCTTACCCTCAGTTCTTACCCTCAGTTCTTGCCCCCAGTACTTACCCTCAGTCCTTACCCTCAGTCCTTACCCTCAGTCCTTACCCTCAGTCCTTACCCTCAGTCCTTACCCTCAGCCCTTACCCTCAATCCTTACCCTCAGTCCTTGTCCTCAGTCCTTGCCCTCAGTCCTTGCCCTCAGTCCTTGCCCTCAGTTCTTACCCTCAGTCCTTGCCCTCAGTTCTTGCCCTCAGTCCTTGCCCTCAGTCCTTGCCCTCAGTCCTTGCCCTCAGTCCTTACCCTCAGTCCTTACCCTCAGTCCTTACCCCCAGTCCTTACCCTCAGTCCTTACCCTCAGTCCTTGCCCCCAGTCCTTGCCCTCAGTTCTTACCCTCAGTCCTTGCCCTCAGTTCTTACCCTCAGTCCTTGCCCTCAGTCCTTGCCCTCAGTTCTTACCCTCAGTCCTTACCCTCAGTCCTTACCCTCAGTCCTTACCCCCAGTCCTTACCCTCAGTCCTTACCCTCAGTCCTTGCCCCCAGTCCTTGCCCCCAGTTCTTACCCTCAGTCCTTACCCTCAGTTCTTACCCTCAGTCCTTACCCTCACCTTACCCTCAGTTCATACCCTCAGTCCTTACCCTCACCTTACCCTCAGTCCTTACTCTCAGTCCTTACTCTCACCTTACCCTCAGTTCTTACCCTCAGTCCTTACCCTCAGTCCTTCTCCTCAATCCTTACCCTCAGTCCTACCCTCAATTCTAAATGTTCTCTGTTATTTCCCTCTTTTCTATGTATATATCTTATTTGATTTTCTTCATCTCACTTTATTTAAATTCTTATGTTGATTCACCCACGCGTCATGATATTCATCTTAAACACGAATGTGCCTAGTATCCACGTTAGTTATCTCTTTCCTATGCATCTAATATCTGATTCATTCTTCTTAGTATTCTACTTTTTTCATAAATTTTCATGGTCTTCTATCTTTTCCTGTAATCCTAAAGTTACGCCTCCTCATATTGACTTTTTCCTTCACTTGCACGTTTTTATGCCTCGTTTCTTAATTATATTTTGCATTCATTTTTATTTACATAGTACTTGTTTTTTAGAATAAAATTGAATTCAAATATATAAGTCCAAGAAATCGAGTACATTATCGTATAGAGCATAATCTACATGTTCTATCTGAATTATAATATTATACTGTAGATTATACATTAATAAACACTAAACAGAAGGATCTCAAATTTGAACAATTTATGGACTATAATGCAGAAGTGTCCTTAAAATTTAATTTTTGTTAACATAATAATGTAGGATTTAGTGCTAAAATATGCAATTATCCTCCAGTGATCGCGCCATCCACATCCTCGCCCTCAGCAACTGGGACAAACTCAAGCTTATCCAGCGCATCAATCAGGGTACCTGCATCAGTATCATTATCATCAGCATGATTGTCGTCTTTATTTTCAGTAGCATCATTATTAGCAGCCTGATTATGGTCTTTATAATCTGCAGCATCATTATCATGGTCATCGTCTTGCTATCAGCATGATTATCGTCTTTACAATCAGCAGCATCATAATTATATATATATATATATATATATATATATTGACGACATCATCATTATTTATCAGCATCCTAATTATTATGAGCGCGAACATATCTTTATGTAAATACTTTTACGTAAATACTTTTTTAGCAATTCCTTCATTTCATGGATAATTCCATTTGTCTGACGATGTTGGAACATTGCAGAGGGCGTTACAAAGGGTGATGGGTGTCGCGTGGGGCCCGCTTGTCTACAAGTGAGCACGGTGGTGGGGCGCAATATGTTGGCCTTACATCGCTCCTATTGGCCTCAAGTGCGCGAAGATTGGCCTTTCTACACCGACGAGGAACGAGTCACGGTCAAAGCTAACAAGCTCAAAATCCAGCGACTCGAGGAGGATGAGAACAGTAGAAGTCCCAACGATTATTCCCCAAATGGTGGGAGTTCGTCAAGGGGAGTGAAAAGGGCTGCTCTTGCGGTCGTTGATCCCACAGCTAAAAGATCCCGTGTCGGGGGAAGCTCCCGCGCTATCTATAGTGGCACCGCCCCCGCTCATTCCTCCATGAGTTACTCTAGTCAGGCGTACGCTCCTTATTCCTCCTCGACCAGCGGAATAGCCAATAACAACCATAACAACCAGTCTTCTATAGGTAAACTAGGCGGCTCTGTTAAGAATAGTTCTAGTGCAGCGCTCAGTCATAACGGCGCTCTGAGCAATGGTCAGCAGTTTAGTGGTAGTAACGATAGTCAAGAACCTCATCGTAATAGTAACTTCAGCTCCAGTAATAACATAGCATCAAAAATGAACGGTACGTCACTCCTGAAGGCGAGTCCGGGGTCCAGAAGTGCTTCAGTTTCCCCTCTGGGTGCTTCACCTGTCAATGGGAACCAAGCTTCCCCTGTACACCCATCACACTTGTCACCCAAAGTCTCGGCTAGTTTCACCCATGAAACTAACGGCAAGCTTGTGAACGGGAAACGGCAGTCTCCGCCTAATGGTCTTCTGAACAACACAAACAATGTCACTAACAATGGTTACAGCAACAATAACAACAGTCACGGCACTAACAACTTCAGTCACAATAACGCTAATTACAACAGCAACAGCAGAGGCATGAACAACAACTATACCAACGAATCCACACACAACAACACCAGTGGCATCAGTCCGCCACAACGCCACCAACGCAGCCTGGGTGTTGGTGTAGCCGGTCACAAGAACCCTCCCTCTTGGAACTCCAACTCTACCTCGTGGAACTCCAACTCTACCGTCCACATGAACGGCCACCGCAACTCAGTTGCAGTGAACGGTTCTTCGCCGCCCGCTGATGCCGTGCCAAGCATAGACTGCGAAGCTATCAGACCTTCCAGGAACGAAATTTACAAGCCCCAAGGACCTCAGCCCCCTGGTGGCGACCGCTGGAACACTTCCAAAAGTCCTAACAACCCCAAAAATCACCATGAACAAGGAAAAAGTTACTCTCAAGTTGCGAAAAGTTACCCGGAAAGCGGTAAGAATTATGAAGTTCCAAAAAGAAACAACGAAGCTGGGAGAAGTCGCCGCGAAGTGGAGGAAAGTTACCCTGAAGCGGAGAAGAGTTACCCTGAAGGAGGGAACGTTTACCCTGAAGGAGGGAACGTTTACCCTGATTCAGGGAAGTCCGAAGCTCGTAATCCTACCATGGAGCAGATATTGAAGCATGAGAAGAATGAGGATGACATCCAACAGGAAATAAACCGAGTCACTCAGTGAGTGTTCGTAATATGAATATAATATTCACTTTCATATGGATAAAATAATTTTACTCCATCTTAATATCGGTACTTTTTTAATGCCATCCATATTTATTTTCCCAAGTATTGGGACGTTATTATTGACACCTAAATTTAGTTTCCTGAACATCGTGATTTGTTTTCGACTAGTTATTGTTGTTACACTTAATAAATAAATAAATCACTTTAAATTCGTGATTCTTGCAATGGAAATACCAAAAGAAAGTAAAATATAAACTTCTGGCATATGCGAGTATGATAACTCTAATTACTTATCATTTATTATGATATGATATATCATATATTATGAAATGATTTATCATTTATTATTACATGATATCATTTATTATGATATGAATTATAAATTGTTATACTATGATAAATCATTTATCATGATATTATATATAAATTATTATGATCTGATATATCATTTATTATGATATGATTAATAATTTATAAGTTCTGAATGAACAGGAAGTACAGTGCCAGCGTACGGAGCGTGGAGCAGAGAAGAGAGTACAGTCGAGACTTCGGCGAGTTCTACACCGAGTACAAGAGTTTGTACAAACTACTTAAGCCCACCAACAATAAACTTACTGAACTCAAGTCTCAACTTGACCAGGCAGTGCCTGGCTCTAGTGAATACAAGGTAAACTTTATGTTACTTTAAATCCATCTTAATATTTGTTTTGCTATATAACCATTTATTTAAAATCGTATATATACTTTTCCATATAACTGGTAACCTTATTAAGGCATGGCTTGTATAAGTTAATTGTTTATGGTGATGTGGTTTAAGCATCACCATTATAAATTTATTATCCGTGAATTGTTTTCAAATAGTTTTCTACTTGAAGTGGATGAACCATTATTTATGTATTTTGATTTAAATGCAAGTGCGGACATTTTTATCACCCTTTGCGGAAATTTCTAATACCCTTTGCCCCACAGAAAGTGCGGACGCAGATGGAAGAAGAGTACCGCAAAGTTCCCAACGAGTTCTTCGAGATGCGCGCGCGGTTCCTGGTTCTAGAAGGCATCCTTACTTTCATCAAAGCCAAAGTGTCCGCTTACGACGCCAGCTTCACGAATCCTTCCCACTCTACTGACCATCGTTCGTCCTCCCACTCTACTACTGACCATCGTTCGTCCTCCCACTCTACTGACCATCGTTCGTCCTCCCACTCAGCCGACCATCGCGCCACGTCAGAAAACGTCCATATGGACGACACGCGTCGTCCTTCCCCTCCACAAACTTCCAGCCATGTCGTCTCGAAAAACCGTCCCGTGGAGACCCATGTCAATGGTGTTTGTGGTGTTGACGATGGTGGTGTGGTGGTGAAGAGTGGTGCAGGTGGTGATGAACGACACCAAAGGTATTCTCCTTACGAACAGCGTTCATCATTATCCTCAGCACCATCGTCATTACCAGCATCACGCAACGTTCACCAGCATCGTAGTCAGCATGGTCATGTAGCACCGGCAATGCGGTAGCATATCTCGACAGGCTCTCATCGGAAAGCCTCGTTCTCTATTGACTCTCTATTAAATCTTAATTGAGAGCATCGCCATCTTGCCTTCTTTAGAATACTCTTAAGCTTCTTCTTGTTTGTTTGAGTGATGTCTGCGTTGTTCTTTTTCTTCTCGTCCGTTTGTATACACTGTCGTCTTGAGGCTCGTTTCATTTCAAAAAATTATTTATTTCATCTTGTCACTTGAATAAATTAGTTTAAGATGAACGCGCGTTAACTTCTGCTCTTTTTTTAGCAATGCGAGTTAAGGATTGGACATTTTTTCATGACTCGTGTATGGAAAAGCTTGATTATATGTGTTGAACCTGGTAATTACTTAATATTTTTGTAAGAACAAGATGATGATGCTGCTCAGATCTGCATGAAACATGAAAATAATTACTGAATTAGTTGAGTTAGTTGATAATTGACTGAAGTCTACCAGTGAACTTGTTTGAATCCTGACTGGAAAAAGAATAGGTTTTCAGTCTCGACTCATGTGCACAATAATTAGGGATAATAAAACACAAGCTAAACCGAAAACTGAACCGAGCTAAACATTGACTGTGATCAGAGTGAAGAGAGGCCAACTGATAACCTGTAATCTTCCGTGGCATAATCCTTGGTATTCCTACGTATATTTATATCAGCTCGTGCTGGTGACCTGAACTTAGCTCGCCTCTCTCCTTCTCGGTTGCCATTACCCCAGGCTTGTGATATTTGGTATTTTGTTGCGGATGCAAACAAGATTATTATAGATGCTAAGGAACTACGAGCTCGACCTAAACCAAGAGTGTACGTCCTTCTTAGTCTTGAATTCACAGTAACTTTAGCTACTGCTTCTAACTTTTGCTAATTCATTTGTTTCAGTAGGACTGAAATATGTTAACTTCAGATTGCGGTTACGACGTTTGTATGGCTTCCTTGTTGCGTCACGTTATTGGTGTTCGATTCTGTCTTGAAGAAGGTCGTAAATATTCATTAATGTACGAATGCTTCACTTGTTATACATAAAAGCAACATAACAACAGGAGCCGTAAGATCTGGCAGTCCATGTATTTATTAACTTCAATTTCACAATAACGAGGGTTCCTAAAATCGGTAACGTTATTTTATGTTCACGTCTCACACTCGATATTTCATACCTAATGAACTATTAATTCCAAGCTTGTCACTTGCATTGAAGTACACATGTGCATTTTTGAGGTAAAATTCGTTCAACGTCTCCTGTAAAAACCGTAATATGACCGTTTATGATAGACGTTTTAAAAATTTGAACTGACCATAATATTTTCGCGAAGAATAGAAAGCGTGCAACGTTGGCTCTACAGATAAAGACTGTTGAGGTTGTAATGAAGGTTATATGTTGTATGCCTGTAGTACTTCAATTTTGGGAGAGACCATAAACTATTGTTGCGGTTACAAATTTTTTTTCGCGGTAATCGGCTTGCGTCAATTTACTTTGGCTCAACGTTCGCAGTGATTTTTCAGCTCATTTCTGCTCATTAGGTTAATTTTGGAGCCATAATTGCACCTTATCTTTCTCTACGATGAATACGATAATCTTGGGTGTAATTCTTCAACACTGATAACCTCTTCTTGATTACTAAGAACGATTAATTTAACAAATTAGCTAGACTATCCACTATCTATTCGCCAAAACTGCAAATTACTTAAATTTTCTGCAGTCGTGTCTCAATTTCACAAAACGTTTTGCTCACTCAACATTTACTCTAACCTACATTGCTTCTCTCACTCCCTACTCTTACTATTGTTCTTATGATTATTGGCTAACGTTCATTAAATTGTTCTTGGTTGTTAAGGTTAATTGAATTGTTACGTTAATTGACTCGTGATAATTAAGACAAGAGGCTGATTTATTGTTGACTATAAGTCAACTGTTCGATGCTCAAGTCTGTTCGCATGCTCATGTTCACTGGCGTTACGTTGTTATAGGAATACGTAAAATTTGTAGTATGTTACATTCCTTTAAGAGCTCGCTTGGATCATTATTGTTGTAGGTGTACGTTACTTTTGTGTCTTCACTTCACTTATTAATCGGAAATGAATTCTTTAATGGATAATTTTAAATTATCGTTGCTGATTCCATCCCGTATGTGGAACGGGGTTGCGGTAAAATATACGGCAACTTTCCAACTACGTAATTTGTCGATTTATATTTGTAATATTTCTTTAAACTTCAGTTTGTATGAAATTCAGTGTATTATCTGCATCCTTGAGCTATACATTTCCTGAAAACGAAGGTTTCTTTTTTGCTTACTGATTTTCAAATAACTGAACTTGCGCATTATTTTGAAATTAGTTTGCAAAACGAGTACTATTTTCCAAACTTAACTAGCTTCAATCAAAGTTAAATGTAGCAACATAATTAGCGTTCAATTAAAAATATTGTTTTCTTTTCAACTCTCAACTTGAATTTGTAAGGAAACTATTTTAAGTCATCCAACTTTCCCAAAGTTGGGACAAGTTTTTTGTGATTGCCTCAACTTGCCTAAGTTGCTGCTCGACTCCAGCTCACGTGTCCATTCCCCTGCTCAAACTTAATGAATAATTTTAGGAAGGAAGAATGTAATTGATTGAGTTTCATGTAGCCTAGATCACGAACATTGTTTTGTTATCGTTGCCTCATTTGCTGATTTGGGCCCATACATTCAAAAAAAGTTAAGAGATCGTAAGTTCATCAGCCAATCATAGACGGTCTTTCAAGCAAAATCCACCAATCATAGACAAGAAAATAGAGCGTAAGTACTTACGTTCACTTAGCGAGTTTTGAAAGTATGGTCCCAGAGCAGCAAATTAACTATGCACTCAAAGAAATGAGCGACTCGTTGTCCATATAGCGATGCTTGCTCTTGTGTGGGGCATCCGGACCTAGTTTAGCTCGGCTATTGGACGTATCTGTTCTCTATTCGTGCTCTGGATAAGAAAGTGTTGCTATTGTGATACAAGATCAATTAATTTTCCTGTATGTTTCGTTTGCATCTGCTACTTGATAGTCAATGGCCACGTTACATATTATAATATTTACACATAAAACACATTTTTCCTGTTGTTACATGAGAAATATCTTGATATTCGTTGGGTTTGCAAGCCGGAGTGATGAATAGCTTAAGGATTGTTGGCATTTGGTTACCAAGTAGCCGGTTATCATAGACACTGTTTCATTCGGTAGCTATTTTCTCTCTTTTTGTGTGGAAATCTACGCATACTAAAATACGCATAGACTTTTGTTCGAAAATAGACATTTAATTTGAATTAAGGCCGTAACATAAACATTGTTGAACAGTTGATCGCTGTGCAAGCCTCTTCTTCCATTGCGTTATTCGTTTAGGACAATTTTCCGCTGTTTCGGCCCATACCGGAACGCAGTATTAGGGAAATCCGATAAACGCATCCGGAGGCGCCACAATTTTATCAAATTCATTCATCAATAAGTCATTCATCATAGCCACCAGTTATAGTATTGGACTTGGTGGACAATTAAACATCAGTATTCGAGTATTATTGCACTGTAATGTACCATGATTTTTATTCGACCCGCTACACGTTTTTCGTTCTTTTTGCTGGTTCTTCTGAAAAACGCGATTTATGAAACACATTTCGAGTGCAGTTGGTGCTAACGATCATTCCACTTGTTCATCACAGTCTTACAAAAAATTTTGAACATTAAGTCATTATAGTTTTTAATTATCATCTACTTTAAAGATAATAGATGATAATGTTACTACGTAGATTTCAAATTAATGTTTCATGCTCGTAACAGACTAGTTGGAAGTATTACAATCGTGTGACTGGTAAGGTTACGAATCCAAGTCAAAGTTGGATACGTTTTTTGTCCATGACAACTAAAGTCCGTCGAATATTTCCAGTTCCGCAACTCCAAGTTCCGTCGAGTACTTCGAATAGGGTTACTTATTGCTTTGTGACGCTAGCGCAGAAATCACTTTTTACTGACATTTATTTTTATTTATTACCGCATTACTCAAGCGCACGCCACTGGAATTTTTTTGACTTTTTGCATGCCGTGATTTACGCGCGCAGGTCTCTATGGTTGCAGTAAAATTTAATAAATGTGAAAATTCCACAAAGGTAGTCCTTAGAATTAAAAAAGTTATTTGTCATTGAATTTTCAAGGATATTTTTTAGCTATGATCCTCGTCATGAATCATTCAGCAAATCAAGAAATATAACCATTACTTTGATTGCTTGGATGATAATTTCGATACTTTCAGCTGTTTGCCGTGATTATTTTCATTATTATTTTAAACAGTCTGCTGCAAACTCGTTAGTAATTTACATTCTCTTCTCCCACAACTCCTATCTGTTATCAATTTTGATATTTCTCTATTGTCTGTGTACAATCTTCTGATGATTTCACGTTGCAAGGCTCACTGCATTTCGAGTGACAAGATTGTTCATCGTTCCAATCTTTCATCAATAAATATGACGATAATAATTTATTTAAAGTATCTAATTCCATCATTCGTAGTAGTAATAGCAGTACATTTATAAGCGGAAACTTACTTATTTGATGAAAGCGTTTGAGGAACTTGCAGCGAATTGTCAAATACTTTTTTTGTCAATAATTTTCGTTGTTGCAGGCAACACACAGCAAGTAAAGTTAGAGAATGTTAATGTATGCAGGAATATATACATTCAATGTCCATTTCACGGCGGACATGTTGAAGATACATGAAAAAACACACTCTGTATTAAATTCTGCGTCCAAATGAGCTAATGCCTTTTCTCTATGAGAAAAGTTTGAAGGGTTTTGATGGAAAAAAAGTAGTTGTGTGTCATTTTTCTATTCTATGTCTAGTTTGCTTGTATTACTATTTTTGTTCTATCGTTATTTCTGCTATGCTCCTACTACTACTTCTTTATATTAATGTGTTTGTACGTACGTGTTTTTTCCTGCAAGTCTCTTAAGAAAATCACAAAAAGTTAAGCAAGTGTGTCCAAAAACGCACTAAAAACCTCAATAAAAATGATAATATTTAATGATGTGAGAAAAAATGAATTTTAGCTTGTAAGTTTAGTTGCCAAAAAATAGAAAAAAATGTTTTCCAATGGTTGGTAAGAGAGGAACGATATTGTACTTAATCTTAAGGAACTTTTTTACAATCGACCTAACGATTAGTGAGGTTTGTTGGTGATGTCACCATATGCTTGTTCAGTATGCGAATTTTTTTGTATTTTCACGACGTGCAACCCCCATCACAGTTGCGTTATGGCGATGAGTGATGGTGCAACGTTGCAGTTGTTATCCAATTACAGTGTTGCATGTACTGCTTCATGAGCAGTACTACGTCTGTACACTGTTAGAAAAATCACCGTTAACGGTATTACCGGCGTTTCAGTGGCCGGTCATCACGTGAAAAGAAACACCTTTTCGCCGTTTTCATTCTAATTTAACACTAGAAATCCGTAAAACGTCTGATAAAAACGGAGAAACAGTTTATTTTCACGGGGCGACCGGCCACTAGAACGCCAGTGGGACCGTTTTTTCACCGTTTTTTCTAGCAGTGTACATGTGCACTATACTGCTATACGTTAACTGTGACAACAGCTGCTACTGCACCACACGTTGTGAAACATTTATGTAACTGCGCCGTTTCAATACAGCGTTTCTAGCACCATGCCCATGTTCATATGTATAAACTTGTACATAAAATCTACGGAGCGAACTTCTCGCACTCTTAACAGCTTTCCATATTGTCTTCTCGAGGCATTGCCTATTGCACATTTATTGTCATTCTAAGTTCTTAATTATTTTATCTTCATTAATATTATTATTTTCCCGTTATTATTTATAATAATGGCAAATGAATATTATAGGCTTAGCTGTCATCAAGATTCGGTACTTGGTTTAGATCTTCATTACGTGGGTTTCTCTAATTTGCAAGTTGACCTCGCGCACGAGCGAGTTTGAGAATGCATTCCTATCCGGGAAAATTCCTATTCCTATAAAGGATTATTGGAAGGAATCGCTGAGATTCCTAGCGTGTTCCATGATACCATCTCATTACTACCATAGACGATGTGTGTGTGTGGTTCCTGACTATCCAGTTGTGGTTGTGGTGGTTAACTACCAGCCGGGATAATTGTAAATTTTTTTCTATTTATATTCAAGATAGTTTCATCTTGATAAACCGGTATACAATACAATATAGTGGTATATCCTGTCTCATTATGCCGGTACATGATGAAATTCTTCACTATTTACATAGGAATTAACGCTCTCTTGCTGCGGGCTCTGATTTTTACCGTATTGTCTATAATTGCTATCCTCCTATTATTTCATCAATGCCCATGGTTTTCATACCATGGAATTTTCATTTCTTTTTTCCGCAGTGAAATTGACAATATTAATTTACTTTTGTTTCATTTATCGTGTTTTCTACTGCTCATTTTTCCTAAGCTTTTTTACCCCAAACGTACACTTCACATTAACAGTTGAAGAACTTTTCCTCTGTTTATATATTTTGACACATTTAGCCAATTTTGGATTTAATCTCTTTCCAATGAAGCATATAAATATTTTCCGGATAGCCCGTTCTGTGGATGTCAATCCAATTCTCCAGGTTCGGTTTTCTATGATGGCTGAATTGTCTTGAGTCATAACATTATGATGAGTCATAAATACGTTACTGAATTCTTTAGTGCATGAATTTTTTGCCTGAAAGCAAGTGTCATGAATTGATTATGTACGGTTACGTAGCATTATTATTATTTGACTTGTACGTGTCACCTGCACGAGATGAAACTGATCCTAAATGGTTTCGATACCATGTCTAAATGACGAGTTTTTTTTTCAGAGTTGATTTGGTGTGCGTTGAATTTTGTAAGTTAGAACTCATTTTTGTGCTTTACTTGATTCCACGTGACATTCTGGTTACAAGGAGCTGTTTTTTTCTCCGTGTATAGCGTGCATAATGGCCGGGACTGAATATACAAGATCTGCGGCATGATGATGATGATCTGGATATTGAACATGGAACATTAAGTTCTTGAATGGTAGTAATGATGTTGGTTAAACTAATTAAGTAATGTTAATGATATGGAAGCGTCTATGGCGCAATAGCTGGTCATAAATATGGAGCATCGCTCAAATATTGTTGGGAATGTTTAAGTGAGCCTTCATGGCTGCCTGTGTGTATATACGGGGCTTTATTGACCTATACCTCAAGGTTATATTTTAATAATAAATCTACTTAAGTTCTTGCAACAAATCTTAGTACGAGTATGTATGCGGCCACGGTTCTGAGTCATGCGTGTCTCACTCCAGTCAGTCTCTAGTTGTCAGGACTGTCAGTCTGGGCTGTCCGTTGTCAGGACTGTTACTCCAGTCAGTCTCTAGTTGTCAGGACTGTCAGTTGTCAGGACTGTCACTCCAGTCAGTCTCTAGTTGTCAGGACTGTCAGTTGTCAGGACTGTCACTCCAGTCAGTCTCTAGTTGTCAGGACTGTTAGTCTGGACTGTCAGTTGTCAGGACTGTTACTTCAGTCAGTCTCTAGTTGTCAGGACTGTCAGTCTGGACTGTCAGTTGTCAGGACTGTCACTCCAGTCAGTCTCTAGTTGTCTGGACTGTCAGTCTGGACTGTCCGTTGTCAGGACTGTCACTCCAGTCAGTCTGTAGTTGTCAGGACTGTCAGTCTGGACTGTCAGTTGTCAGGACTGTAACTCC